TATGACTTTTTAATCTTATAATTATTACTTAATATGTCATAATCTACTTAATATGCCTTAATAATTGACTTTTGGTCATAATTCTGACTTTGAATGGCAGTGGTTCTCAACTGGTTTGGCCATGGGACCCACATTTTCCCATGGTCATTAAACCGTGACCCAAATTTTCTTAGTAACGTATTCATATATATATATATATATATATATATATATATATATATATATATATATAATAATTACAATGATTTATATAAATACAAAATTACACATACAAAGTACGATCTCATTTTACTTAACAAACACATCATTGTAAGAATATGACTAAAACTTATGCATATACAGTGTAAGTTAAGGATCTTAAATAGCAGTCCCAAAATAGTTTTTTTTTAATTCAATAAAGTTAGTATGTTGATATGAGGCATCACAGTCATTTAAAAATACACAAAATAACACTAAGTGCAAAAAAGTGGCACTTTGGGATTATGAAAACAACAGTTACGATTAACAAACACAAATAAATACACAATACTAACATGACTTGCTCGTGAAACATAGAAATGAGTAGAATGAATGTCATACCTACATGCAAATCCTTCCCAGCTAACACACAAAGTACCAGTTATGTAATTTATTGATACTTTTTGGTATTTAATGACTAATTGACATAACTACGACATTGCATGCATGTAATTTCTATTGAGTTTTATTTATAATAAAGTGATACACAGGAAAGTTCACATTTCTGAGGTGAGAGACTTTTTATTTCCAAAATAACGTTGGAATAATGACACTGACAGCATCTCATCTGACCGTGGATACTGAATCAGGACAATGCATTTTTCTCAAGCACTCTTTATTTAAACTGCATCTGACAGAAGTACCAATAGCTTTCGTTCACGTATTTCAAAATAAAAGTCAAGTTGAATTACGTTTGTTTGTTGTTTCTTTGACTGCACACTCCGTGACCCACTCAGAAGACTCACTAGTTAAGATTAACCAAAGCATGATTTTTTTTCTTCTTTTGTGATGGAAATGGGCTTCCATAGTAGTATAAAGAATGGTTTTGTAAAATGCGTACGGTGTGCACAAGTCACCTCGATTAATCTTTCTCTTTTTTTCCCCCTGTGCCACTCAGAGGTCCTCAAGGAGGTGGATGAGATCTATGATAAGTACAAAAAGGAGAGTGACAGTGGGCAGCGCAAGCGACTGCAGATTCAGTTGCAGCGGGCGCTCATCAGCAGTCAGGAGCTGGGAGATGAGAAAATCCATGTGGTCACCCAGATGATGGAGGTGGTGGAAAACCGCTCGCGTCAGATCGAGGCCCACTCGCCCTGCTTCTTGGAGCCGGCAGACACAGAGCGACCAGTGGAGAAGGTGAGGCATGACCCCGCAAGCACCTCCGCGAACGTTCTGCCCGAGCGCTCTTCGATGCGGCGACCCAGACGTCAGCGCAACAGCGAGAGCCGTGACACTTGTGCCAACGGTGCCATGGAGGACCTGGGAGAAGAGCCTCCGCAGCAGCCGCGCGAGAAAAAGTCCAAGTCGGCCAAGAAGAAGAAGCGCTCCAAGGCCAAGCAAGAGCGAGAGGCGTCGCCGGTGGAGTTCACCATCGATCCCAACGAGCCCACCTACTGCCTCTGTGAACAGGTGTCCTATGGGGAGATGATTGGTTGCGACAATGAGCAATGTCCTATTGAGTGGTTCCATTTTTCCTGTGTTGGACTCACCTACAAGCCCAAGGGCAAATGGTATTGCCCCAAATGCAGGGGTGACAGTGAAAAGACTATGGAAAAAAGCGCAGATAGGGCCAAGAAGGATAGGAGGTCCAGGTAGTGCCTTACAGAAGATTGTCTAAGTGAAAATATGCCTGTGTGGGGGATTGGTGATTTTTGTGTTTAACTTATGTTAAAAGGTTCTTCTCATGCACTTAGCTGAAAAGTTTCCAAACAGGTGCTGTTGTTGCTTTTGCATTAGGTTGGAAACTGACCAACAGATGTTATTATTAACCCTGTAAACACAGATATTTAAGATACTGCCACTAATGTCCATAAGACTACGAAGAGTTCTTTTCTAAGCCTTTTTTCCTTCTAATTGTTGATTTTAGGAAGCCTCGAGACTTTATATATGTTAGAGGTCACCCAGTCCAGGGTAACACTTGTTGTTAAAAAAAAGAGGGGTGTGATCAATGCACAGGGTCTGATGAACGTTATCAACACCGTTCTTTTGCATTTCTTCTTCTTTTGTTAAACATTTTAGAAAACGTATATGAAAACACACCTCTGAAATGTCTTCCAGTGAGAGAACAAATTCATTTTCTTTGTTACTGTTTTTTGGAGTGATGTTTTTGTTAAATTCTCTCTTTTTTTAAGTTTCCTCTATTTAAATAAATCAGTGCTTGTTATGTCTGTAATCTGCTTGTTTTTGTCACATGGACGATATTAAAAGATTCTGATGGATAGACGATATGGTCTGCATATCAAGAAATTGCTCGATTAGAGAAAATCTACCAGGCAGAAGCTTGGGCACAGAACTTTTACAAATATTTTGATATAAAGGTTTGTTCATAAAGGTTTTAACAATATAAAAAAACTATTTGGACTAAATAGTGAATGAGAAGTGTGCAGCATACAGGAGCTTCTTAACTGTTATATGAAAGCATCACTGCAGAGTGATTCATTTGAAGAGGAATTTCACATCTTATTTGCATTATTTCATTGTTCAGTTTTTACTATTCTTCTAAAATGTGGGAAATTGTATGAATAAAGAGTGAGTAGGTGTGTCAAAGTTTTTTTTTACTTGTTGGGTGTAACTTATTGGTAAGTTATTATTACCATCATTTAATTACTTTTCCCTTGAAAAAGTCAAGTAAGGGGTTACTCTTATTCTTTACTGTATAGACTAGAGCAATTCTATATAAAATATTGGATTTAACATCTAATGTCAAAATGTATGTTTTTAATATAACCTCCCTTTAAAAACTTTGTTCATTTACTAATATTTTATGTAATTTTATGTGGTTTATTTAAAATAATTAAAAGAGCAGTTTCATGTCTAACCTTATACGGTTCAACTGGTGGTTGATATGGCATTTAGAATATTATAAAAACGTAATGCAATACTTTTTAGATGGTAATTAGTAATCTAAGTTGAAGATGTAATAAGCAAGTAATTAATTACTTTTTATAGTTACAATAGTATAAGAGACAATAGTATTATGTTAGAGGTAGATAGATTTGATTTTTTTTTCTCATTTCTTGTGTTCTTTGTCTTTCAATTTAGATGTGAAAGTTCATTTAAATAATTAAAAAAAGGAGCTGTTGGTAAAGAATATTTTAATGAACGGTCCTTGCAACTACAAATTATTGCTGTGCTAATGAGGTAAGTTCATGTTTGTTTGTTTTTTCGAGGTTATGATGAGGTGTAGAAATATCTATTTAAATTATTTGGATTTAGTCTGAACCATTTTGAGAAAATCAACTAAAAAAGTTACATGTGCTGCAGACAGACATTAATAATTTCAATCGAAGCATTGTATGAAACTGCCCCAGAGAAAATACATAGAAGAAAAAATCGTAAACAAAAGTCCGGCCAGCAGATGTCACTATAAACGCATCATTGGTTCTCATCTGGTTTTGTTTCAGAACCCTTTTTTGACGTTTAAAACAACAAACATGCTTTAAAATAAGAGCTCGTTTTACAGTAATGTCTTAAAAAAGAGATCACATTTTGTTAGAAGACACTTAAAATGCGGTTTTAAAGTACAACCTGCATATTTAATTCAACATTGTACTGTTTGGTTAGGCTGCCTGCAGCTCATTCAAGCTTTACAAATGCTGATCATTAGTTGTGAATGTATATTTATTCTGGGTTACCCAGTAATCATGGTTACTCTATAACCCAGGATTTGTTAAGTTAGCTTTTATGAATTTAGCAGTCCGTTAATAAGTAATCCTGATCACTAAATACCTTCTAATGTGAAATGCAACACAGTTTCAATACTGAAGTTACCTGGGCCTATGGGAGTGTGTAAATAAATGCCTTTTCATCTAAACAATTGCAACCCTGGGTCAGGATTTTAAGAGATTCAGTCTTGTTCTTTGTAGTGATAAAGAACTAAACAAGAGGAAACAACCTGGGAACTTGGGATGCCCTTGCTCTGTGTTCAAGATAATTGATCAAGGCCTTAGAGAATAGAAGCTCACACAAATGCAAACAAGGCCAAATTCTTTTCAGATAACACTCCACAAACTCAAACTGCCAACCAAAAAAGAAAAGAAAAGAAAAAAATTAGAAAAAATAAATAAATCAATACCTTTTTTTTTAATACATGAATAAAAAGATTCCAAAGTACAAAATGTCATAAATAAGATAAAATAAAACTAAAACTATGGAAAGCTCTTTTTGTACAAAAATGAAGAAGTACAAAAATACACTTCAGTGCCCTTTAAAGCAGCGAAACTTAACCAAAAAAAAAAAAAAAAAATTTCTTTGTGTTTAATCAAAAACCCAGTCCAATAGGCCTAAATCAAAGCGATTTAAATTGGGATAGCATATTTTAATATTTTTGCTTTGGACCAGAGATTATATATATATATATATATATATATATATATATATATATATATATATATATATATATAAACTAAAAGGACTTTGTTTGGACCCAGAGCATTGTGTGGCTAACCATGAGGCTAACTAATAGGTTATAATAAAATGCATTTGCTTTTTTTTAATCAGCCCATAATTATAATCAGTTATATGAAGAAAACTCATAGGCCAACACGCGCGCGCGCGCACACACACACACACACAAAGAACACAAACATAGCATCTCTCATGGACTCTTTCAAGTTCATCCCTTCATTTTTCATTCTTGTAAAGTTTTAAAAGTTCATTGAGCAAATCCGTGTCCGCCGGCTCTCGTTCTGCTTCTCCCATGTTCACCTGTTGCGAGACTCGTGCAGTGCACTACACTCGCGATGTTTTGAAGGCCGCCTGTAGGTGGAGTCAGGAAAACATCTGGTGATCCGCGCCGCGCGCTCTCTGTCGACACGTCCAATCTAATCCGCCGCACCGGACAGACACCAAGCGCACGGCGTCAGGGACGAGAGCCCGACGCCTCCGAGACGAGTTAACGCCTGCGAGCGTGCCACCAGAAAGCCTATACGGTCTATATGAACGCCCCAAATAGTGTGTAGACCGACTGGGAGGCAACCTCAGAGTGCACCAAATGAAGACATGAATAAGAAGGAATGAAGTCATCTCCTGCTCTCTATGGCCAGCAAACATCACCGATGAATGCAGTGATCGATCAACCCGCCGCTCAAGAGGCCTCGATGGTGGAGGAATCGGTCTCGTTTGCTGTCGGCCGAATGCGTAGAATGTCGCGGGAGAGGTGTGGAAAGAGGCAGGTTGAGACCTATTAGTACAGACAGTCCCATTGATCATTCAGCTCAGCTGCTTTGCCCATCAGTGCAGTGGCTGGTTTAATATTGCCCTAAGGACTGCTGGCATCGGGCTATGGGCGCACCGTACGGAACACGGCGTTGCGAGCGTTTGTTTGATGAATAAATGACATTTGCGTCTCTCGCGCGTATCATGCTGGTGGACCCTCCGCCGTCACGCGCAGCGCTTCGGCTTCTGGAAATAAACTGAAATACGGTGCAATGTGTTCGTTTTGGAAATTCAATAAGGTGCGCAATAAAACCCCGTGTGAGTGCCGGACAGCATCGGACAGGGTCGCAATCCACGCCGTGGCCTGTGTGTGAAACACGCCGGAGAATGGAGAAGTTCCTGCAGATAGCGCCCCATTCCTTGGCCATAGTGCTGTCACGGGTCGGCACGGAAGATGAAGCAGCCGCCGCGGTCACGGAGAAACTTCAGCACCATCACACCGGCTATGAGATATTCGCCGACTTCAAAGCGGAGAACATGCAGCACTTCTGGAATAAGAAAGTCACAGACGCCATATCCGAGACCTTCTTCTTGGGCTGGATAGATGAACATGTTCTGCTCATTCAAGGCAAGGAGGATCATTTGGAGGTCCTGAGGGAAGGATGGACACGGAGGGGCCTCAAACCACCGCGAGGCTTCGAGATCAAGTGCATAGGTAAGCCTGACCAAATGGCATCACACTCGGGGACCCTTGCTGCACAGCCAGGGGAAGGAAGCAGACACGTTTTGTGTGTGTGTGTGTGTGATAAATTATGGGCGAACCTAGTACCAGTGTTATGCTGTAAAGTATTTCAACATATTTCAATGTTTGAGAAGTGTCCTATTCATCTCCAGATTGAACATGCCATAAAGGTGCGCTATTGGTGTTGAGACTCCCCACTATGCACTTCTGCCATGTGAGGTTTATTTACCTGCTTAAATGATCAACTTGAGAAAATGATAAGGTAACAGTTACCTTACCATATATGATCAAATGGTATTATTTAAAAAAAACAATGCATTTTACTGTAAAATTGGATTAGAAGTAAAAGTATGAAACAGCTACCATAATTTATGAAGAAAAGTTATATTTAATAAGGCTTATTTTATAGTTATATTTTATATTTAATATTAAATTATATTTAGATTTATTTTACATAAATACTTTTATATAAGCAAAAAGTAATCAATACTTTCCCAAGTGGACCATCACAATTGTAAAAAAAATAGTGTTAAAAAATGTACATTAGTGTGTTTTGTGTTGCATTTTGTTATGTTCATATTATTGTAGGGACTTTGTATTATTGTATGTTGTCTCTTTGTCAGTTACGTGTTTAAGTTATACAAATGGAGGCAATAAATGAGGCCACTTTTATCAACTTTAAATGACTCAAATAGGCTGGCATATCAACGTTATATTATTCAAAGACACATACAATAAAGAATTATAAATGCAGTAACCTGGTAATGCTTGAAATATAGAGGTATTTTGTGTGGGAAAAGTTGCCAGTTAGTTGACAGCTGCCAGTTTGCTAGAATCAGTCACGTACATAGATTTACATATCGTTTAATCATTTTCATGTCAGAAAAACTCTCCTTTTTAAATCTTGGACATAATTGACCGCTGGAATTTACAGTGAGATTTATTGTAAAACTAGGCTTTATACAGTCTTTAAAGCAGCTTTGAATGAGGTCAATGACCTAATATACATTAGATCTAATAATCCCTTCCCATGCTAAAAAAACATTTGATGAGGATTTTCTTGTTGCATAAACAACATGAACAAGGACACTTGTTGCTATTACTTTCAAACCCCTTGTTCTGTGAAAAGGGTTCACCCATTCTTTGCTTTAACACTCCCATAAATCTTGACGTCTACTTGAAGGAGAAAAGGGATTCAAGTTAAAACTTTCCACTGGATTGTCCACCATTCAGAGATGAAGTACAAAAAGTTGTGCTTTATCGCTGTGGAATCTTTCTCCCAAAATTTCTTGGCAAAACAAATTGATTTAAGCCCTGTTTACAGCTGGTATTAAGATGGTTTTGGTGGATCGGATCACAAGTAGACGAGGGAGACACATAACCGTTTACACCTGGTGTTTTAATCTGTCTCTTTTATCCACTTTCAACCACTTCTGTCCTGATTTCTTTGAGGGGAGGGTCTGTAAGTAGATAAATGTATATGTTTTTTTATCCAATGGACAAATTATGTCCGTGCAAATTTATATATGAACCCGCACAGAGACGACGGAAAAACTACCACATCATCTACATTACGAAAGCAATCCAGTCCAATGTGTTTTCTCTGGAAGTGGTCGAAAGTGGACAAGCTCAAAAAGTTTTAGACCACATTTACACCTGTATTTTGCGTCGTCCACTTGGGATCCGATCAGCTAAAATGCATCTTGATACCAGGTGTACTCAATTGTAATATAGGGTTTATGATGATGGAACTAAACTCTTTTTTGGACCGGGTTCGAGGAATCCGATCGGGTCTGCACAGCGCTGCATCAAGTTGAACACACCTTAAATCTGTAGCCGTAGCTCTCAGAAAATTACGAGTTTACACGTTGTAATTACACATTCCTCAAGCTCGTGACAGCTTCTTACAGTTCAGAATCGTTATGGTAATTACGACATGCCATGAACGTATTTTCCACCTGAAGTTTTCTGGACTCTTTGTACATCTCCAAGGCTGTGTTGAGACTGTGAGGGATTGGGCCTCCAGTCACACATAATGCAAAAATAAAACAAACCATATTACTGAACTCGGCTCAAAGGGGAATTCTTCTCATTCCACCGCCTGGTACTGAATCATTTGTTTTGGAATGTGATGATATGTCTGATTTTTGCAGATTTGAGTTTAGACTTTTTTACTTGAATGGGCTAATCTACAATCCAACTGAATGTTTACAATGGTTTGGACTGTGTATTTACTTCAAAAGAAGAATTCACTTTATTACCTTAAAAGCCCTTAAATTCATCCATTTATTTACTAGATTTGAAAAAAATCCCGAAGAAAAAGTATTGTGCAAACATGTGCTTTTGTTACTCTTTTTAAAAGAATGGTTTTCTATTGGCATTCATTGATGGTTCCTTTAAGAACCGTTAACATTTACAGAACCTTTCCACTGCACAAAAGGTTATTTATTTAAAAAAAGTTTCTTCGGATTATTAAAATGTTCTTCACACTAAGAAAAAAAATGTGACTCTTCACTTGAATGTTCTTTGAGTAACCAAAAATAGAGCTATTGCATCGCTACAAAAAACTGGCCCTCAAGACTGAAGTTGCCCATCCCTGATCCTATATTATAAGATTATGTACACACACTTTCTCAATTCAAGTTCTTAGATTAATCAACCAAATCCCTTTTACAACCCCTATATACTGTAACGTAAATAAGAAATGATTTCCTTGCTAGCATTAAACCTGTCAAAAATTGTTGACAGGTTTATAAATATTCTTGCGTTGTGTTTCTTCCTCCCAGTGAAACAGACAAAGACAAAAGAGAAGACTCAAAAGTAAAAATGTATTTCCTTAGATGTATAACCCAGACATCACCCCTGCCAGCAAACACTGCCATCTAGACAGTTACAAAAGTTTCCATTAGTGCTAAAAATGTCTTGACATGGCACAGGTTCCCTCAGGTGTGTGATTATCACAAGCATCATGGCAAACAAGTAGTGTCAAGAAGAGTTCATAACTGTTTGTGTGAGTGGTGGGGAGGATGTGTGTGCTCAGTGTGATACATCTGACATTAACTCAACTTAAGAAAACTTTTTTTTCAGATCTTTACACACTGTCTGGTAAAACTTAATTGCAGAAATGAAGTTTGACTCAAGCTTATGAAGTAAGCAGCCTGGGTGTGTTTACATTCAAAGCTGGAACATATTTAGATGCATTTTGTTAAAGGGGGGGTTGATTGCGATTTCACTTTTTTCATTTTAAATAGTGTGTAATGTTGCTGTTGGTGCATGAACAGTATCTGCAAAGTTGCAGCGCTGAAAGTTCAGTGTAAGCAGAAATATCGTCTTTTAAAAATCAGGAACTATATTGCCTACAAAAACGACTCGATTGGGACTACAGCTGGGTTTTAGACGTCACTAACCCACACATTTGCATCAATCCCTCCCTCCGGAAAAAGCAAAAAAGGGCATGCGCATATTTCTGTGGCTCGTCTAGTGTGTTGTGTTCACCCAGCTGGCAGGTCTTCTGTGTTCGAGATTCCCACCGATGCTGTACTTCGTCAACAATGGATACAATTTATGTTTGATTATGTTCCTGAAAATGAAGATCGTAATCTAGCTCTCGGAAGACAGCTTCCAGAATCTCCACGAGTTCAATGCCGGATTCAACAAGAAACTGTTACTAAAACATGAAGCAGTTCCAACTTTAAAACCAGAGGCAGCAGTTGTTGGGCCACAACCTGTAAGTAGGCTAAGACTTCACCATTTTAAATGTATTTGCATGTATAATTCCAGACGTAGCCTTGTGTTTTATTTTTTTCAAATGCCAGCGCTGGCTTTATAGCTACTAGGCTACTAGTTATGCTATTTTGTGTCTACGACAAACGCGTACAAACATTATGGACCTGAATTTTGTATAAGTACTATTGTTTTAAACGTATTTTTCAGGTATATATGCTTTATGACGTTATTTTCGATTTGATCAAGAACATAAACTAATGCCAACGCTGTTTGAGTATAACATTAGTAGCCAGTCAGTTGCTATTGTTGCCAGTCAGATGCTATTGTGTAAAACAAACGTGTATAAAGTTACAAAATGTAGCAAATTATCATTCAGAAACGTTTAGTAAGAGCCGTGTGTGGTGAGGTTCTGTTTGACTCTCTTCATCGCGGCTTTCTCGGTCTGATTCTGCCTCAAACTGATACTGCAGTTTGACACCATTATTTACATCTGGACCGGAGCGCAGACACGTTTCGTCCGTAAAGGTAATGGGCGTTAACCTTCCGGACAACGTGAGCGACAGTTTAGCCAATCACAACACACCAGCCCAAACTAACCAATCTGAGCCCACTGCCTGTTTCTGAGGGAGTGGTTTCATAGACTCAGGAAGTCAACTGCTCGTTCGAGGACAGATGAGAGCGCGGCTGACAATAAGACAATGAAGTTTATGAAAAATAAGACTTTTTAAAAAAGAAAAACCACGAATACATGTTATATTGCACCCCATAAACACAATCATGCAAAGAAAAAAAGCAGTCAACCCTCCCTTTAAAATGCTGCATAAGAAAAAGATATAATAAAGGAAAAGTTAATTGCAGCTAAAGGATAAAAGTGCTTTTTTACCGGTGTTGTTCTTCATCTAAACAAATAGTGATAACAACGCATCCATTTCAACTTTTGAGAATTTAACTGCATTTTTTCCAACATAAACGAAATAAGAACAGTTTCTACAAAGTGTGAAAAACATAGCCTGCAATTATTTCTTTTAAATTATTAGAAATTCGAGATGTGTGTAACTCAAAGCCCCTTGTTTTCTTCAGGATGTCAAGATGAATTGGGTTGAAGATTTACTATGGGTAAATTAGGATGGCTTCCTCTGATGTCTTTGTATTACTTGGAGGTCGCCCAGAGACCATGAGGTTTTAGATTTCACAAAACACTAACCACTTAGAGCCTTTCGGTAACCACACTCTTGATGCGTCTGCAG